AAGTGTTTTTAATAACTTTTAACAAATTTGAAGAGCAGTATAGATTTAAGGTATTTTAATGTACATATTTAGGCCAATTTAGATTTTTAGGAACTTTTTCTGTTTTTAGGAAATTTCTAGGTGTAATAATTGTTAATGTAATTCAATTAAATTTTCTAGACAATTTAAGATTAATTTTTTTGGATTAACAATGTGATTTTCTTTGCAAATTGAAGTTAAATATTCAATTCTAGGAATTTAGGTTAAGTTTTTCCTTTTATGATAAATTTATGAGTAATTTTGGACTATTCAGCATGTGATTTCCATTAATAGTAATATTTAGTATTTAATAAATTGAAGGCATTGGTTTTCTCCCGGAATTGTGTAGTTCCTGACTTAATGTTGGTTAATATTATTGGCCACGTGGATCATGAGGTATCAATATTGATGTTAAGGAGTAAACTCTGTCACTGTGATACCAATAGTCAAAATATTATTTACTTGGAGGTTTAATATGTTGCTATTAGGAATTGTATGGAATTTCACCTTAGTTAGGTGGACTCACACGTGGTCCTTTTGTGATATGTATTTGGATTTTGGAGGAAAATCTCCAATTTATGAAATTTGGTATAAATTTGTCTTTTGAGATCGGGATATATGTGGATATAGATTAAATTATTATAAAATATTATATAATTGTCAAAACTCCACATGGAAAAATTTTTAACTTTGTCACACTTTAATCATTATAGATTTTAAAACACGTCTTACTATATCAACTTTTAATTCGAGAATAAATCGAATGTTACCAAGTAAGATGATCATAAGTAAAGTGCGTAATTAAAGAATTTAATAAGTGCGCAATTAATTTCCAATGAGACATTAATGATAAAAAAAAATGCAATTGGATTTACGTTTGTGGAAAAAAGACAAAAGTATTTCTGCAAAAAAAATGAGATTGATATTCAGTAATGTGTATGATTTGATACATAATCTTACGCACATATGTATATAAAAAGCGTGAGAACTAAAATAAGATGTAAAAGAAAATAAAATATCTAGCATGCGAGTTACATGGGGAAGTATACCAATCCATAGTGTTTGAAAATGTTTATATTTATTTGGAGTTAAATTTGTAAAAATGTTTTGATAATTATTGTTGAACAAAAATCGTAACAGTGGTCTAGTCTAAATATAAGACTATTTACTAGTCTACAGACTAGTCAATGAACTTATTAAGACATGTCTACTAGGGATGCCAATCCCGAAATCCCGATCCCGAAAATCCCGGGATTTTTCGGGATTGGCAAATCCCGAATCCCGGGATTTGGAAAATAAATCCCGGGATTTTTTCGGGATTAGGATTTGTTTCAAAAAACTGTTTTTATTTCTTTTTTTGAGCCATAATTTTCATTAATTTGAAAATTACGATCTTATTTTATTTTTGACTCATGCAAAACAAAATTCCGCAGAGCTAATTTTATACATATTTGAACCTTTTATTTTTTAAAGTGGTATGAGTCCATACACATAGCACATATAAATTTATTTATTCACTTCGTTTTTATACCTTACACCACTTTAGTGGGGAGGGTATATTGGGTTTGTGCTGATGTTTGTTACACACAATAATATTGGTCCTATACCTTAAAGTATACCAATCGGCTCAGAATCATTTTCTGAGTCGATTTAGCTATGTCCGTCCGTCTGTCCGTCCGTCCGTGTAAACCTTGTAATCAAACTACAGCAATTTTGAAGATAATTCAATGAAATTTTGCATGATCTTCTATTGTACTAGAGACGGATCCTATTGAAAATGGATAACATCGGTCCAATATTTGACCTAGCCCCCATACAACTGAACCCCCCAAATAGGGTTTTTAAGTTCATAATTATGTTCAATATACTCGTAACTCGACAAAAAGCTGCAAAACCAAGTTCTATACTAGCCTTCATGACCCTGATGTATTTTTGATGATGCGGCCTCATTTGACCCTAGCCCCTATGCAAAGCCTCCTTCGAAATATGACTTAAATGTACACAATTTTATTCAACAAAAAATAGCTAAATTATATCTGAGGCAAGGTACAATTCAACTTATATGCTTTATTATGAACAATAAATCACATTTATTTTATAACTGGTGTAGGGTTATGGTAGGCTTCGCCCAACTATAACTTTTTACTTGTTAGCACATTGCAATGTTGGTCGTAGACCGACCCAAAAAGTATACACATTCTGTGTCTGTAAGCTGAAAACACGAGTTAGAAGACTCATTCTATTTGGGCTGCAAATTTGGAACAAAATTGACACAAAAAAACCTAATTGGACCTCCTCTGAAAATCACATTGATGCTGATATTAATATCAATACATTACAATATTTTGATGGTGGGTATTTAATTTCGGCACAGTCGAATACAAACTTTATTTTTCAATACTAGAGGATTTTACATTTCTAACTTTCTACAAATCTGAATGATACCGGTAAAGGTAAATTTACCTTGTTCTGAATGCACCTAAAATTTTAAATTAATACTACGAATATAATAATATGTTCCAAAACTAATATGTATTTGAGTAAAATTCCAAATATTTTTCAAAGAATAGGGTTCTAAATTGATGTTCGATTAATTGAATTGGTATCTGTTATAATTTTAGTTCACATGGAACAGTATGAGGTTTTAAAAAGTGCTTATGTCAAATTTCGGAACTTGATATTTATTTTTATTTAGGAAGTAAGTATGTATTTAAAAAGTTTCAGAAATTATTCAATTCTGAAAGTTTTTATTTAAAAATTGGAATTAATTGGATTGTTTTAATTTAAATATATCTTCTGTCTGTTAAATTTCCACAAAATTAAACAATTTTCTTACAAATATGATGATTTAAAGATTTTCATATATAAAATAATTAAATTCATGTAATCCCGAAATCCCGTAAAATCCCGAAATACCGAAAAATCCCGGGATCCCGAAAAATCCCGGGATCCCGAAATATCCCGGGATTGCAATTTTCAAAATCCCGAATCCCGGGATTTGTAAAAGCCAGTCCCGTTTGGCATCCCTATTGTCTACTGACTAGTCTATAAATTATTCTGCTGACTAGTGGATAGACTAGACTATCGACTAATCAACTATATAGTCTTGTCCATCGACTAGTCTACTGAATATTCTATGGACCAATCAATTGACTAGTCTGTGGTTTAGCCTTTGAACTATTCTATTAACTACTTTATGTACTAATTTGTTGATTAGTCTATGGACTAGTCTACTGACTAATCCATGAACTACTCTATAGACTGGTCATTAACTAGTCTATTGACTAATCGATGAACTAATCCATTAACTGCACTATAGACTGGTCTATAAACAAGTCAGTTGACTAGTCTATTGAATAATCAATGCACTAGTCTATTGACTAATATAGTATATAGACTGGTTTTTTGATTAGTCTGCGTATATTTCATTGTCAATTTCCCATACCTGTTGTGGGGGTAAAATGAATTATGTTGATAAGAAAAAGTACTTTATAAACATAAACAAAACGCTACGCAATAATCCAACCCTGTTATTTGTTAAGAAAAAAAAAGCCGAAGTTTCTTGCATTGTTCATGCAATTTCGTTGTTTATTAACAAATTGTATTTTAAACAAGTTGGTGGTCAATTAGTTATAAAATAAAATAATTATTAATAAAAAGTAAATAAATTTATTGTGTATAATATATAGCCGATAGAAAAACAACAAAGAAATAAGAAAGACTAATTAAATTGGTAAGTGGTTGTGGTTCCATCTCCTGCTATTGGTTATTTTATTGAAAAAGTAAAGTTTTTAAAAAGAAATTTTATATTGCGTCATATATTTATAGAATAAAGGAACTCATTTAAAATAAACATAAAGATTTAAAAAAAAAATGACAAGGCAATTATTGTTGAAGCGGTATTTGATTTCTGTTAGATTGTTTAGACTAGATGAGTATTTACGGTTGCGTTTGCATAAACCTTTTGTTTATTTAATTGCGTTTTAGTAAAAGTGTTTTGTTTTCGGTTTATGTTATAGAAAAATTTATTATTTTAATTATTTATTAAAATTATTTATTTTTCTTTATTAACTGTACCTTGCTTTTGTTTTTTTTCTATTGACTAGTTGCTTCTTTTTTCTTAGAATCCCGTTAGAAAATACACAAGAGTTGCCAGGAAATTGTCAAAAAATGTACAGTACAGGATAAAATTAACTAGCCACGTATTATAGAAAATTTAGAATGTTATAGGCTTATCAGCAAAAGGGGGCGTATACGTGTGTTTGTAATTTTTTATCACAATTTGGATCTTTTAACTCATCTAGGTTTTTTTTATAATAGTTTCTCAATTTTACCTGGAAATTTTAATGAAAATTGGAGAAATTCATTGTATTTTTGTTTAGATTTAAATTGGTTTTTAAAATTACTGTTTTTTTCAGTTGGAAGATTTTGTTTTGTTTAAACTAGAACTGAATTAGAACTGAAGTAGAACCGAATTAGAACTAAACTAGAACTGAACTTAAACTGAAACAGAAGTGAAGTAGAAATGAACTAGAACTGAAACAGAAGTGAAGTAGAAATAAACTAGAACTAAAACAGAAGAGAAGTAGAAATAAACTAGAAACTAAACTAGAATTGATATAGAACTGAACTAGAACCGAACTATATCTGACCAAGAACTAGAAAAGAACTAGAACTGAGTTAGAATAGAACTAGAACTGAAACAGAACTAAACTATAATTTAACTAGATCTTAATTAGAACTGAAATAGAACTGAATTATAATTGAACAAGAACTGAACTAGAACTAATCAAGAACTGAACTAGTACTGAACTAGAACTGAACTAGAACTGAACTAGAACTGAACTAGAACTGAACTAGAACTGAACTAGAACTGAACTAGAACTGAACTAGAACTGAACTAGAACTGAACTAGAACTGAACTAGAACTGAACTAGAACTGAACTAGAACTGAACTAGAACTGAACTAGAACTGAACTAGAACTGAACAAGAACTGAACTAGAATTGAACTAGAACAGAACTATAATTGAATTAGAACTGAACTAGAACTGACTAGAACTGAACTAGAACTGAACTAGAACTGAACTAGAACTGAACTAGAACTGAACTAGAACGAACTGAACTGAACTAGAACTGAACTAGAACTAGAACTGAACTAGAACTGAACTAGAACTGAACTAGAACTGAACTAGAACTGAACTAGAACTGAACTAGAACTGAACTAGAACTGAACTAGAACTGAACTAGAACTGAACTAGAACTGAACTAGAACTGAACTAGAACTGAACTAGAACTGAACTAGAACTGAACAAGAACTGAACTAGAATTGAACTAGAACAGAACTATAATTGAATTAGAACTGAACTAGAACTGAATGAGAACTTAACTAGAACTGAACTAGAACAAAACTAGAACTGAACTAGAACTGAACTAGAACTGAACTAGAACTGAACTAGAACTGAACTAGAACTGAACTAGAACTGAACTAGAACTGAACTAGAACTGAACTAGAACTGAACTAGAACTGAACTAGAACAGAATGAGAACTTAACCAGAACTGAACTAGAACTGAAATAGAACTGAAATAGAACTGAAATAGAACTGAAATAGAACTGAACTAGAACTGAACTAGAACAGAACTAGAACTGAATGAGAACTTAACTAGAACTGAATTAGAACTGAACCAGTACTGAAGTAGAATTGAAATAGAACTGAATGAGAACTGAACTAGAACTGAACCAGTACTGAAGTAGAACTGAACTAGAACTGAATGAGAACTGAACTAGAATTGAACTAGAACTGAACTAGAATTGAACTAGATCTGAACTAAAACTAAAACAGAAATAGAACTTCACAGAACTGAAATATGTAGAACTTCACTAGACTAGAACTGAACTAGAACTAAACCTGAGCAGAAGAATTGAACTAGAACTGAATTAGAACTGAACTAGAGCTGATCTAGAACTGAATTAGAAATGAAGTAGAACATCACTGCAACTGAACTAGAGCAGATGTAGAACTGAATTAGATGTGAAGTGTAACATCACCACAACTGAACTAGAACTTAACTGTTACTGAAGAAGAACAGGAACTGAACTCCAGTAGAACTAGAACTGAACAAGAATTGAAAAAGAACTGAACTGGAAATAAACTACTAAATGAACAAGAACGGAGGCAGAACTGAACTAGATCTATAAAAGTGTGTGTTCTTTTTGTTTTAATATGTGTAAAGAAAAGAGACGATAAAATCGACTTTAGCCGATAATAAAGATAACAACAAATAAAATAACATAATACAAAAGAAAGGGGGACTTTGCAAATTTTATTTTAAACAAACCAGTTTTTTTGTTTTTAATAAGTTTCGTCTATCAATTGTAAACAAATAACAAATACTTTCCCTTTATCTCAAGTTAAACAAAATTAATTATATTTAGTTTGTCTTCCCCTTGTTTCTATTAAAAAGTGATTTATAGATAAAAAATGTATTGAAAACTCCCTTTAAAACAATATTTCTTAGGCCTAATAACTTTTTTTAAAACTTTTGGTGTTGTTTACATTTTTTTAAATATTTTATTTTAAACAAATTCCCAGTTTATTTTTAATTAAAATTCCAAACCTGTTTTTTGCAAACAGCTTTTGTTAAAACGTTTCAATGTTAAAAAAAGAGTAACATTTTGTAAAGTACAAATTAAAAGCTTTACTCTAACTTTTGTATTAAAATAGATATTTATTTATTATTTAGTTAACTAGTGTGAAATTAAAAAAGCTCTCGTAAAAACAAACTTTAACTTAATTGCTATAGAATTTACGTTAAACACTCAGCTGACAGCTAAGTGTTCTATTGAATGACTTCAATATGATTGAATGAATGTTAAAAAAGTTATTTTTTAGTTTCTATAAATAATTGGTAACAAAGCAATTAAAAAAAGATACAAAATTGTTTTTTTTTAGGAAACTAAAAGCTTTTAGTTTAAAAATTTCATCATTTTATTAAATTTACTGTTTTATTTTTCTTTTAGCATTTAAAAAAACCTCACCTCTTAACATCTACATTACCCTGAGGTATTCTCAACTTTAACAGCAACCAAAATGCGTACAGTATTAGCCTTATTATTGGCTTTTGTAGCCTTAGCTCAGGCTGTTTCTTTGACAGATCTTTCCAAAGAAGAATGGCATACCTATAAGGTAAGTTAAAATTGATTTAAAGACACGCAAAATGAAACATGCCTAGTACAACGAGGGGGTTTTTTTAAACAATTCATTTAGTTTAAGTTGTTGTTATTGTTTGTTGTTTAAACAAAACATTTGCTTTAGTTATTAAAAAAAATGCAATTCTACAAAAACATTCTTTGTTTAGGGGCAATAAACAAACAAAAACATAGTTATTAGTCATTTTATTAATGGCTTATCATTCACTTTAAAATTACTTTATAATTATTTGTTTAAACAATGTTTAGTCATAAATTAACTCAAATTACAAACTTTATAAATTGATAGAAATTTAAGAACAAAAACAAAAACCTTCACAAAGAACTAAGGATTTCAAACAAATTTTACACAACTTTTTAAAGCCGAATTTTTCGAACTTAACTAAATATATTCCTCTTCTACTTTATAAATTTTACACAATTTTTAAAATTTTTTAAAATATCAAAAGTTTTTGTGATTTTTATAAAAATTTAATTATTCGTACTTGCAAATTATTAGTTAAAAGTGAGATTTTAAAAAATTTGTGTCGCAATTTGTTAGTTTTTCTAAATTTTGCTGCATTTTTCCGTGATATTTGAAAATTCGAACTTAATTTCGAAATTTTCGAACTTGGAAAATAATGCTAAAATGAGATTTTTATTTAAGTTAGAGTTAAAATTAGTTTGAATTTTTGAATTTTCTGCAATATTAGCGATGTTCGAAAATTCGAACTTAATTTCGAAATATTCGAACTTCAAAAATATGGCTAAAAAGTGATTTTTATTTATGTTAGAATTGAAATTTGTTTGAATTTTTTAATTTTCTTCAATTTTAGTGATGTTCGAAAATTCGAACTTAATTTCGAAAATTTTCGAACATTAAAATTTTCCTAAAAATTTATTTTTATTTCAATTTGCAATGAAATTTGTTTGAATTTTACAATTTTCTGCAATTTTAGTGATGTTCGAAAATTCGAATTTAATTTCGAAATTTTCCATCTTCAAAAATATGGCTAAAAAAGTGATTTTTATTTCATTTAGAGTTGAAATTTATTAGAATTTTGCAATTTTCTGCATTTTTAGCGTTGTTTGAAAATTCGAACTTAATTTCGAAATTTTCAAACTTCGAAAATATGGCTAAAAAGTGATTTTTATTTAAATTTGCAATGAAATTTATTTGAATTTTATAATTTTCTGCAATTTTAGTGATGTTCGAAAATTGGAACTTAATTTCGAAATTTTCGATCTTCAAAATTATGGCTAAAAAGTGATTTTTATTTCATTACATATAGTTGAAATTTATTAGAATTTTGCAATTTTCTGCATTTTTAGTGTTGTTCGAAAATTCGAACTTAATTTCGAAATTTTCAAACTTCGAAAATATGGCTACAATTTGATTTTTATTTAAGTTAAAGTTGGAATTTATTTGAATTTTGTATTTTTTTGCAATTTTAATGATGTTCGAAAATTCAAACTTAATTTCGAAAATTATCGAAATATTGCTAAAAAGTGATTTCTATTAAATTTTACGCAGAATTTTGTTTGAATTTTTAAATTTTTCCACAATTTTGTGCATTTTTAGCGATTTTTGAAAATTCGAACTTAATTTCGAAATTTTCGAACTTCGTAAAATTTTGCTGAAAAGTGATTTTTATTTATTTTTTCACAAAAATTTGATGAAATTTTATATTTTTTCACAATTTTGTGCATTTTTAGTGATGTTCGAAAATTCGAAATTAATTTCCAAATTTTCGAACATTTCGAAAATCAGTTTTTCTTTCGGAATTACTTCAAAATTTTATAAAATTTAAGGATTTTATAGAGATTTTAAAAAGTTTTCTTAAAATTTATTCATGTTCACGAGATTTTAGTTCGTTTTCTTAAAATATTTTAAAAAAAGTTTTAAAATTGTGTTAATATCTTTGTAATCAATTGATTTATAATTAAAACAAAACAATGATAAGGAAATAACAAATAAATGTTAATAATAGCAGGAATTGTTTTTTCATTTCGAGCATAACAGAAAGTATAATGACCCATTTTAATAGTGTATGTAGACTCACGTAGAACGCAAAAATAGATGATTAAATACAAACTACAACGCCATTGCATTGATAAGACAAAAATATGAAACAAAACAATAATAATAAACTTATAAACAATTTAAATGCGAAATGAAATCTAAATGAATTTGCCATAAAACTATAGTTGATTCTAACAGTCTGCATGTAAATTTTAACAATATTTCTTGATACCCTTGAAATATTGAAATTATATGCTTTTTTTTTAAAAAAGAGCGATAAAAGCAAATAAGAATTTCATAGTTTGCATTAATATGAACATTAAAAGTTCTCAAATTTCATGCGTTTTTAAAGCATGATAAAGGAATTTAAAACTTTCCAAGATAACAGATTCATACAGACTTTGTGTTTTTAAAACTTCTGTTTTACAAAGTATAAACGCATGGATAATTATAATGATAAAAAAATTCATTTAATAATTTTATGAAAATTCCAGCCAGACTTGAAGCTTATCAACTTTGTGCTCAAACAATAACAGCACAGCTAAAGGCATTATCATTATGGTACATTGTACCAAGCAATAAACTTTCCAATCTGCTGTTTTAAGTCACATTTCGCAGCTCACATTGTCATGACATGTGATGATGATGGCTGTTTATTAACCCAGATTTCAAACACGTCATCAAAAGAAAAGGAATAGATTGATAAGTTTGAATGAATTTTGAACAATTTGTTAAGGAATAAGCAATGATTGAATGAATATTCTATTAATTTTGAATATTTCCTTTTAAATTTTCAGAAATTCCAGGATAACTTATACATTTTTTGGAAATTAAAAGATTTTCATTAAAATTTTCACATTCGAACTTTAACATTTAACTTAAAAGTGAGTTTTCAATGACTAATTTCTTTGTATTTTTAAATTTGCGGCATTTTTCCATGATATTTGAAAATTGGAACTTAATTTCGAATTTTTCGGACTTAGCTAAAATCACTAATTTCCTCTTCTACTTTATAAATTACAATAGAAAATCTAAATTTTTGTTACTTTTTCTTTAAATTTTAGAAAAATTTTCGAATTTTTAAGATTTTTTCGAAATTTTACATTTTCGAACATTGAAAATTTTGTTAAATTTTAAGATTTAACTTTATATAAGTGTAAATTTTGCTTAAGTTTAAAATTTTGAGCAATTTTGGCAATGTTCGAGCTTTTCGAACTTAATTTCGAATTTTTCGAACATAGAAAATATGGCCAAAGAGTTATTTTTATTAAAATTTGAGGTAAAATCTGTTTAAATATTAATATTTTTCTATGAATTTTTGAATTTTCTGCAATTTTAGCAACATTCGAAAATTCGAACTTAATTTCGAAATTTTCGAACTTCGTATTTAATGCTAAAATGTGATTTTTATTTGTATTTGCAATGAAATTTGTTTAAATTTTACAATTTTCTGCAATTTTAGCAATGTTCGAAAATTCGAAATCAATTTCGAAATTTTCTAACTTCGTAATTAATGCTAAAATGTGATTTTTATTTGTATTTGCAATGAAATTTGTTTGAATTTTACAATTCAATTTCAATTCGAACTTAATTTCGAAATTTTCGAACTTCGCAATTAATGCTAAAATGTGATTTTTATTAGTATTTGCAATGAAATTTGTTTGAATTTTAAAATTTTTGTTAATTCTAGTGATGTCCGAAAATTCGAACTTAATTTCAAAATTTTCGAACTTGGAAAATTTAGCTAAAAAGTGATTTTTAATTAAATTTGCGAAGAAATTTGTTTGAATTTTACAATTTTCTGCAATTTTAGCAATGTTGGAAAATTCGAACTTAATTTCGAAATTTTCGAACTTCGTAATTAATGCTAAAATGTGATTTTTATTAGTATTTGCAATGAAATTTGTTTGAATTTTAAAATTTTTGTTAATTCTAGTGATGTTCGAAAATTCGAACTTAATTTCAAAATTTTCGAACTTGGAAAATTTTGCTAAAAAGTGATTTTTAATTAAATTTGCGAAGAAATTTGTTTGAATTTTGCAATTTTCTGCAATTTTAGCAATGTTCGAAAATTCGAACTTAATTTCGAACTTGGAAAATATAGCTAAAATTAGATTTTTATTTAAAATCAAGTTGAAATTTATGTTTATGTTTCAATTTTGTGCTTTTTTAAAGATGTTCGAAAATTCGAACTTAATTTCGAATACATATTTCGAAAATCAGAAAATATTGCTAAAAAGTGCTTTTTAATTAAATTCAAGATGAAATTTGTATTTATATTTCAATTTTGTGCATTTTTAATGATTTTCGAAAATTCAAAATTAATTTCGAAATTTTCGAACATTGACAAAATCATACATTTTTAACTCTCCTATTAAATTACAGAAAAATTGTAAAATTTCATGATATTTTTGATCAATTTAGATATTCAAACACTGAAAGTTTTATTTAAATTTCAAAATTTCCCATTAAAAACCGTTTCCTTTCGAATCGAATTACGGGTTTAACCCCTCAGTCCAATATCGCATTTCAATTTAAATATTGCAAAAATATCATGTTATTAAACCTGTTATGAGTAATTGTCTTATTCAAATAGTATTTTGTTTAAGCATTTATAGAAGGTGATTAAACCCCCCAAAGTTCCAGTTATTATTTGTTTATTTGCTGTTTATTTTAATATTTTTATTTGCTTTTGTATCGATTTTTATAAATGACATACTTTACTTTTCTTAATATCTCATTTTTGGTTAGGGTTTCAATTTAACATATAATGGTTTATTATAAAATTCTTAACAAATTGTTTAAATGTAATTATTCAACTCCCTAAACAATAAAAATTTTATTACATTTTTGAAAAAAAAAACAACTTTGTTGCTCTTCTTACATTTTACATTTTTACAAATTCGTTTTTAAAACTTTTGATAAACACTGTGCAAGTCTACTTAACAAATTGAACACAAATCTATTGCCTATGT